ACAGACTGAATTAAAAAATAAAGTGCAAAATTTTGATGGAAAAAGAATTGATCCCAAGGAAGAATACGGTTCACAAGGTGAAAATTTAATTAAAAAGCTTGTTCGACAGTTTGATCCATTAGATGATATGGCGTCGGGCTATGCAACAATGATGACTGGAGAGAGTTTACCCGTATCTCCTTATTTTAGAAAAAAATCAGGTAAATTCTTGAAAAAAACATATCAAAGGATATTGATAAATACCTCTTGACTTATTCTAGTGTCGAAACTTTTATAATTATCAAGGTATTTTCTTGAGAATATGTTAGTGCTTCAAAATCTCCAAATCAATTTTTATGTTGTTCTTATACCTGTTCTGTCCATCACCTTAAGAATATAACACTGAGTATAAGTTGTAGAGGCACTTAAACGCTTAATGTATCTTATCCACTGCTTATTTAGTTTTATTATATGTTTTACATTTCATTATAATATCCTATTTAATGTATACTTTTTTAGATTTGTTTTCCAGTTCATCAACTCCTGTCACATTTCGTAATGAATCAAATTCATCTCCATCTGTATTTCATCCAAGTATTTGTGAAATTCCATCAAATCGTGTTAATTATATTTTACAAAATATCCGTTCCACTTATGGAACTACTCCCTTACAAACAGTAAAAATTACACCACCATCATCATCTTTTGCGAGACATATTTCACCTCAACCCACTCCAAATTTAATGAATTTTTCTCCTCGTTATCCTTCGATTCAACCCTATAGGACACAAAAACAACAGCAAACATTTTCTGAAACACAATCTTCCTTATTTGATCCATTATTACCTACTACGACAAAAATTACAAATAATATAGGCACACAGTCAGTTCATAACACAGATATTCTATTTGATCCTGTACAACAGAATAAAGAGAGTCTATATCCAATTCTTCCACCACCAACTTCTCATGAATCACATACACATTCTCATCAACTCAATTCAAATTCCACAACAAATTTAATTGATTTTTAGATTTTTAACAATCATACAGTTTTGGTCTGATTAGAAATAAACTGTTACATTGAAACGACACTAAGATCTTTCAAGTCAATCAAAGCAATTTACACCATTTTATTTATAGAGCGCATAAGCTTGAATGTGAACTGCGATTATGTTGTGTAATTTCACTATTGATCTCTTGAGTTGACATACAATGTTCATAAATTGCTATGCATTTCTTTTATTCATTATTCTCGTTTGTCTCTCATCATATTAAAAATGTTTTCTGTTATTATTGATTTGATTTTTTAGTCGTTTATATTTGCTATACATTCATGCCTCATCTCTTCATTTTTTTTTTCGTCTCATAGTCATACGTGTGACTTTTTTAATACGTTAAAGTTTTATTATTGTTGTTCATGTTGTTTTTTATTTTTGATGATAATGTAAATGTGTTAAAAAATCTTTTTTTTCTTTTTCGAATGATTTGTTTTCTTATCTAAACTTTAGAAATGTGTGAGCGCCGTGAGTGTTTTTATTTTTGTTTATTCTACTAGAAATAAAGTAACAGCAATGTTTTATGAGTATTAATATTGTTTCTAATTGTGCAAATTTTGATAACTCAAGGTATAAAATACATTAATGATGAAATATTGCTTAACTAGTTTTTGTCTTAATATAATGTTTGAGTGAATTTTCATAGAGAATGCCGTATTCTATGACAATAGTTTTGTTAACTGTGTCAGTTACTTCATGCATAAAAATATATTACTGATATGTTTACTGTTGTTTTGTTTTAGAAATCTTTTTTTAGCTTTCTCTTTTGCTTTTAAATGAATAAAATTATTTGATTATTTTCAAAATATGATGTAGAAAAAAAAGAAGAAGAAGAAGCAGTACAACAACAAAACACTAAAAAAAAATGGACAATTCTGTGACGAGTTCACAGTGTCTTTTGTCATCTACACATTTAGAAAATGTTGAAGCATTAATTAAAAATTTAGAAAAACAAACAATATCTACGCTAGATAACTTTGAACATGTTATTGGTGGTGATCAATCACAATTTAAATCATTTATAACAAGTTCTATAACGTCGTCGGATGTAATGAACATTGATGATAATTTTCTTATTCGAAGTATAACAGAACCATCCGTTGAAAATTATTCAACAGACAGTTTATTTTCACCATGTAATTTATTTGGCGAATCTGTAATTAATAATCGTAATCGAGTTCCAACAACAATATCGGATGAACGTATCGTTCCATCAGATCAATCAATCGTTGATGGTTTTCATTGGGATGATCACTATGATACGAGACAAAATTACCATTTAACATTTAGTGGATCAAAACAAAGGCCTCCTTCTCCTCATCATCACATTCATCATCCGCACAAAAGCAGCTATCATCGACTAAACACAAGCCAACAAAGAAAGAAACGAACATCACCAACATTGAATGGGTTAGCTGTCTTTTTTCTTGTTATGCAATAATATCAAGTCTTTTCGAATTTAATATTCTACTAAGCCAGAAACAGCTATCGTTTATACATCAATGAAGGAGTAAGATTTTAGCTCTATCTGGCGATCTTACTCATTGCTATACTGATAAGCTATTCAATGTCGATTTTCCAATCGATATGTGATACAACATTGTTGTAGTAAATAGACAAAAATTGATTCTGTTTCTCTTTTAGCCAACCGAATTCTACGTATTCAGATGAATTACCTTCCGATACATTAATAACAAATTTAAATGATTGGTCCATGCGTTCATCGTTTAATCTTGAACAATCAACTGACATCTTACCCGAATCATCCTCACGATATCAAGAACCTGTTCCCACAACATCATCGGCAACACTTTTTCGTTCACAATCACATCCTTTACCAGCGGAAAAAGAGCTAGTTTCATCATCCCATTCGCCTGGTGTCTCATCAACAACGTCGAGTTCATCATCAACATCTTGGAAACGTATGAAAGAAAGTCAACGTGCATCATCGGATGTTGAACTTAAAAAAAGTCGACCACCATCACCGTTTAGTCTTTATCGAATATTTCAAAAGAAGGCATCCATGTCTTCGACAACTCAACAGCATATACGAAGTAGTGTCCTTCAGCCTTATCGTCATTTAAGTACAGAAAATGAGACACCAGCAGTAGTTGCAAATCCATCTGCAATATCAACATTAAAGGAGAATTTGATTGATGGTGGCGGAATTCAGCGTCAAAATCAAGCAGCATCACACTCAAAAACGCATGACAGATGTGAAGAATCGACACAATTTCCACCTCATATTACAGATCAATGTATACAAACATCAATTTCGATGTCACAAACGACAATACCCTCTCATGAACGCTGTGAACGAACATTTAAATCATTTCAAACAGACAATATAGGAATATCACGTTCTAGTAGACAAATGGACGTAAATACACGCAATGGTAAGTTATCATTTGATGTGCGACGCTGACAGATAAAACAATGTTAGATGCAATAATGAAATGAATCATGATTACTTAATTAGAACCAAATTAATTTTTTCATTTTCTGGTTAAGTTGGATATCGCCGGATAATAGTTTAGTTGAAAATTGAGATTATACTATCTGACATTACATCGAAGGCACAATGTCTTTTGTGTTTAGGCAATACTCATTTTTCAACGAAATCCGAATCTGTCGATCGTTTACAACAAACATCTACTGGCCGTTTTATGTCTCCTTCTCCGAATCCATCTTCATCAAATCAATCATCTGTTTACAAAACCGTTCAGCAAACTTCTTCTACAACTTCTGCAACGTATAAATCTTTGCCCGATCTTTCATTTATCTCGCAATATTCAAAAGAAACACCACGTACTAACTCTCAAACAACCTCACTAGTACCATCAGCTGATTCTCAATTATCTTCTGAAGCAGGATTTATCACTTCATCCAATTCCACTTCTCAACAGCAAGAGCAACAGTCTGAACGTCCTCGTACATTAAAATCAATTAAACGTTATAAAAATAGTAAACATCCAACAGAGCCATGCGTATTTTACAATTTACAATTACGAAAAACATTCGCTGCTATACCAACAAAACAAGTGCAATCAAAACAAAGTCCAATAATGATGTTAATGGTACAGCAAAAGCCGCAAAGGACTCACAGCAAACCTCCCTCACTTCTAAAATCGTGCTTAAAACATCGTGCCAATTCTTGTGATATTGCATCTGTTCTCCGACTTCAACCAACACCACTTTCTTGTTCATCATCAACAACAAAAAATGAAAAAAAACAAAGATCTAGGGAAAAATCCAAGGTATGAACACGTTTGAAATGACGTTCACACTATATTACATAATCTTCATGTTAACTAAGGTGAAGAAGACTTGAAGTACTAAAGAGCAGCAGTATGTCTGTAAGAAAAATTCAAAAGAACTCTAATTCACTTTATCGACTTTCCTTTTTTTAATACCGCCTGCATTAAGTCATATGTAAGTCTGAGAGAAAGGGATTCTTAACTTTGCTATCTCGTAGGAAGTTAGTAATTCTTTCTGCTTTTTAACATAGATTCCGACACTAGTTGTTGATAACTCTAGAAAAGGTCGTTCATCCTCAGTGACGTCTGCACTATCGGAACGCTATTCTGAATCGTCTTTGTTAGAAAAACATGAACAACAGTGGCAAAAGATAAATCATATGCCTTCCTCGTCTAAACTGCTTGATTATGTAATATTAAATTCAACTGATGACTCGCAAAAAAGAATTAATTCCATTCAACAACCACAATCTGCTCAACCTTATTATCATTCGGATTATGATTTACGTACGATGACACAAACAAAGAAAAGCGTCAGCTTTTCAGAAAATATTGCCAAACATTTGATATCACCGTGTAATCCTTCAATAACTTTTAGTTCAACGATTGAACGTGAACAAGAGCCAACAAATGATTCTCTATTAATGTTACACGAAAAAAACTATAATCCAACGTTGAAAACATTACGTTACGGAGCGAAAGAAGAAATGAGAAGGTGTCAAAGTAAGTAATAAACTATTATTCGTATTTAATAGTATTATAGGAATACAGAAAAGTTTTATTTTTACCTCTATCGAATTGAACAAATAGCTTCACAGCTTTATTAAGTCATTAACCTTTAGTATTGATATTGTAGTTTAGAAGTATTTACCTTCATTGATTTCGTTCAATAATCAGTTTTATTTAGAACATCAAGTTTTATTGCCTCGATTTGATGTTCATATCAGCTTAGATGGCATAGAATGATCAGGTGTGTGGTATCCACGTGATTTTTTTTCAAATTCATTTCAGTTCAGAAAAAAAACGCAGTTTTGATTTAGTTAATTGTTGAACGAATATGATTTGAATACCATGTGATTTTTTTCTGCATTCAGAAGAAAAAAACCGCTTTCAAATATGTTTGGTGTTTGAAGTCATAATTAAACACAAACGAATGTAGTCAGCTTCGTTTTCACTTCACATGCGTTTACAATCGTTTTTTTTTAAATAATTAAGTATACGCGTTTTTTGACAAATCGTGTTCAAATACTGTTTTTTTGGCGGGCACATTTTAAAAATGAGTCAAAATACGTTCACATACGTGTAATGCTGAAAAAATATGAAATGAAACGTGTTTGAACGAGTTATTCTTTTAATTGCACTTTTTAAAAGCGTTTCGAAACACGTTTCAATGGATCCAACGTATCTGGATAATAAAAAAAGAAACCCACTGAATAGACAAGAAAAATTGGTTTATTTGTATTAGAGATTGAGATAGAGAAAATGATTATATATACTTTTTTATTAATGTTTCAAATTATCTTGCTTCCAATTAGGAATTCACTCAACTCGTGAATTCAAGTTTCGGCAAGTTCAAATTTGAATTTTTGTTTTTCTGAAAATGATATGGAATATTTAGAATTGTAATTTCTTGGCTATGAAACTAGCCAAAACTTGATTCTGAACTCGCACTTCCAATTCTAAGCTCAGGTTTTCTACTCCTAGTAACTAGGATGACAAATAGGCGAGGTGTAGAGACGGATGATTACTTTATCAATTTTATGCAGTTAAAGTATACTGACTTAATTCCTCATTTGTCTAAAAAATTATAGATAATCTAATGTGTCATTTCTTCCCATTGAAGACAAGATATATAAATACTGGGAGGATAGCATAAGAGTGCTTTCTCATTTAAGTGCATCTTATTTTATCTTATCTTTTTATTTTATTTTTATCTTTTATTATCTTATTTTAGTGCGTCTTATTTGGGTGCGTTTTCAGTTATACTTCAATTATTATTCTTGAAAATATTTTGAAACTTTTGAGTCGTTTCTGTCATCACTGTTTGTTATTAATTCTTAGTGACTAGTACTCTTTTTATTTTAATTTTAAAATGCTTGTGAGCATTATTTTGACAATGAAATTTCATTTTAAGAAGATGAATTGCTATGCATGTTTAGCTACAGCAAAACATCTTCCAACTGTCAAAACGTAATCTAACGGTTGAGTTAGACTGGATCTCGATTAAAATCATCTGTTGTACGTTGTACCGTTCTACTGAGTCTTTGATATATTAATTTTTTGTGACCTGTATAGGTCCCAACACATAAACGTTCAATATCATGTTGAACTAAGACATATTATTTTATTTGAAGTGTTTCAATCAATCGTCATAAAGTCGGTTGTGTTTGTAGTAGACGTAACAGTTTAAAATCTCATGATTCAACATTATTATTTGTTCGACTATCTTGACCAAAAACATATCATACTTCAATATTATACTGCCCATTTAACCAGGTGTTTGAAAAATAATGATAAAACGGTTGCATTTTATGTCGTATATGTAATGGTGTCGAATCAAGTACTTCATCATAGGTAAATTGTACTAAATGTGTTGGTAGAAATAGATTACTAGCCACTAAGAATTAATAACATACAGTAGTGACAGAAACGGTTCAAAAGTTTCAAAATATTTTCAAGAATAATAATTGACGTATAATTGAAAACTCACCCAAATAAGACTCGCTAAAATAAGATGCATCTAAATGAGAACGCACTCGAATGAAGTCCCACTATAAATACTATAATGATATGTGAATTATTTATTTTAATCTCTAGCTGATATTATTATAATGGATCCGGCCAATCTTCACAGTTTTACGGATAGTCCACCAAATGAATTTCGTCTAGAAGATGATGATGGAAAACATAATGATGAGGATGATGATCAAGCTATATTAGAAAAAACTGCCGTGATGAATTATATAGAAAATGACACTCTACATACCACTGATATACCGACTATAACTACGACTACTTCTACTGCTTCTTCTTCTTCTACTTCTAATATACAGCCAATACACGATAAAATTGAACAGTTTCTTCTAACTGAAAAAGAAAATGTTAACACTGGTCAACAACAGCGAGCTGAAAAAGCTCGAAAAGTAATTGCTGAAATCAAGCCCGAAATTATTTCATTTACAAAAAATAATGATCATATAGTTGAAACAAAAACGTTAATGTCAAATTCATTCATAATGAATTCATCGACATTAACACCATGTATACAACGTACAATAGAAGGTATGTAATTTTACAATACATCCAGGTTTAATTCATATATTTTCGTTATTTTTTCTCTAGCTCTACTTGAAAGCGTGACAGAAACAATAAAACAAATATATGAAATTAAACGAGCTGATAAGGTATGATTTTTACGAGAAAACGATTTTTTTTTTGATTGATTTCTCTTTGATGTGTATGTTTATTGAGTTTATCGAGATCATCAAGAAGAGAAAAAATCTTCATTAAAAATGAGGAAAAAATACCAAACAAATTTTAGAAGAATTATGAAAACTTTGAATTCAAGTTCGGAACAACAGCGGAAAGAATTTCTTACCAATATTTTAGTTACTTACCAAAATTTTTGGAGCAATATCAGCGTATCTACTCATCTGAATAATACTCAAAGAATGCTTAGTTTTTTATGTTGAGCTGAACAATCGTCCTTAGAAACTGATATTTCAGTAACTGTATCTCTGTGTAATATAACTTATCTTTATTCAACTGAGTACCCGTATTTTGTTTTGCTCAAGCCGCTTTGGTTGGACTGAGCAACTTGTTTTCAGAGCAACCGTTGTCCATTGTAACCAAATCGTCTGAGCAACTATGTTAAATGTTGCATAGGTAAGAAAATCATTGATATATAAAGACTTACGGGTAACATTCCACGATCGTTCTGGAAAAAGATCGAAAAAATCAAAAACGTAAAAGAGAAATTACTATTTTGAGATATCGTTCCAGATATCTGTGATAAAATTTTGAACGCGATCGAATGAAGTTTTCTGGGGGGGGCGGGGGGAGGGGACATAATGTACTCCAATGAAAACCGTTTTGTTTTCCAGAAAAATCATGGGGGAACAATATATCAGAAAATTCTGGGGAAAAATATCGATTTTCTTTTCCAGTGTTCTATATCTGGTATAAATTTAGAACCAATCAGACCATTGTCAACGAGATAAAAAGATAGGGGGGATACCATTAAGATGTGTCATATTACTAGTGATCAAAGCACAGTTTACTGCTTACAAAAAACGTTTTGTTACTCAGTAAAACTTGCCTCACCTCCTAAAAACGGTACCGAAAACAGAGCCATTTTGCACTTTCATATAGGATGAGCTCCCTCATCGAAATGATTTTTTTCAAATTTCGTGATCAGCATCGACCAATGACTAGGATCTAAAAATATCAAATATATTTTGTTTGATCTTCTTCCTACACACTCTGCTTCTATCTACTTCTCTCAAAACTGACTTACTCAAATATTTTCTTTTTTTAGTCATTTTTTCTCAATAATGAATTAAATCCACAATTAGATCATTTATTAAAAAATGATTTTTGCCTTGTTTTACGTGATATATTAGAAAATGGTTTAAAACATCAACAACAACAATCATTATTTATGATGAAACAAATTACATTATGGAAAATAATTGATTCAGTTACAGGACAAGGTATGATACTTTCACCAAAGAAAGCATATCTAATTAATCTAGACTTACTGATATATTATGGTGGTTAAAATTATTCAATTATTTTCAGGCAATAATGTTTTGATGTTCGATGCTTATAATCTAAATATGTCAGATAATATACTGTAAAAGTTATACAGTATATTTATATTCTTTTTTATGTATATTATATAAGTTCATCATACAGTAGCATATTAATATTAATTTTTACCAAGTTACGACTTTCAAAAAAAAAAAAAATACCATTTCTTTATTTTAGGTCAAATACCTAGTCCATTTTACGATGCTAAAATAATTGGACAAAATATTCAAACAACAAATTGGTTTTGTAGATTTCAAGCATTTATTTATGCACTATTAAAGTAAGTTTAATTATTCTAAATGACAAGATTTTTTATAGACTTCATATCAAAAACTGAAAGTCGACGTTTTTTTATTTTTAGTAAAAGTGAGTTAATAAATTGGCTTTATCATTATATGCGACAAAAGGACCTTCTTCTTCGGTATTATGATTCGTCGGCACTTTTGCTTGTAAATAATAATTTTACGTTTTCTATATTTGAACGTTTAATGACACAATTTGAAAAACTTTTACCATTAGCATTTCGTTTAAAATTTATATCGCCATCATCGTCTCTTGCTGGTGTAGGATCAACATTCTTAACGTCAAATGATGATTTATTCGGAAGTACAACATTGAACGGTGTTAAAGATTGTGCAATAACAATGTCTAGACAAGAATCAAAAACACTTGATAAGAACAGTAATGGACGACAACCAATCATTGCTACAATTGATAAAATTCCAGTAACAACAAGTGGAAATACAATACGTTCAACATTGTCAAAAACATTTAATATGCGAGCATGGTTTCGCGGTAATGGAAATAATATTGTTATTGATATGAATACAAAAAAAGGGCCAACATCTGCTGTAACAACAAAATTACCGGGACCAAAATATGACACAAATTCTAAATTGAACGGTATCCAATTACGAACTACATCACCTAGAAGTCCACCATTAACTAACGTATTTAAGAATAACAGCAATCATACAACAAATTCTACTAAAAAACCTACAACATCTAATAGTAATCATATACCAACATCTCATCGAGGTCTTTCGCCAGTATCTACTAATTCATCAGCAACAACAGCATTTCAGTCAAAAATTCCTCGACCATCGTTGAATGTCGATAAAACAAATAAACCACTATCCGCACGGTATTGTACAAGTCAAAATACAACAATTGCAAAATAAAGTCTTCTCATTTATCAGATCTGAACGTCTTCTATTGTGTTTTTTTTTTTTTGTGTGCTAATTGTGATTATTTTTAATAATAAGTGTAAGTTTTCTCTTTCATAGCTTAAGTCTTGATATGAACAACGCTAATAGTATATAATTCCGACTACTTCTTTTGATAAAACTCATTGTGTTTCATTTATTTGATAATTAGTAAGCATTCCATTGCTTTTGTGTGTGTTTTTTTTTGACATGTGCTACTTTTATATATTTTTAGCTTTTGATTTTGTCATATTATGTACGATTAGTCGAATGCTTTTTATGTTTTCTTCTTTTTATTATTTTTATCAGTCACATTATTTGGATGATTGTTTGTGGTTTTTCTTCTTTTTTTTCTTCTTTCATTATACATATACACAACATAAATACATTTCATATTTGAAATGAGAAAAATTTTGTAATTAAATTCAATAAATGCATTTGCCATTGTAAATCATTTTACCTCAATTCAAAGTTATTTTGCTAATGCAATAAATATCGTTTGCAGAAAATAATGTGAATTCAAAGTTTATCAACACCAATCTCATCGAATTGATCAATTTTGCATGTTATTTTATTTCTCAAATGTAAATTATATTTGAAGAATTAAACTGGAAACATACTGATTTTTGATCATGGGTAAATATTCAAAAATTTGTGATTAATAAAAGATGTTGCTTTTCAATTGAGTGCATAGTTTATTATTCACTCGTTCTCGTAAACAAGCCAATTATCATCTAATTTGATAATTCATTGAATATATTATATTTTAAAGTAAGGCCAGATTTCTCTCTGTTCTGTAAAAATATTGCAAAAAATTGCAAAATTTTATCATTCAATTATAATTGCGTCATAATATGAAATAATGACTCAGGATATTTATCATATCGTTTAGAGTAGTATCTGTCAAAAATTTTTTATATTTATGTTAATTATGTATCGGTTAACCGATAATATACGTGTTTAGTGCGAATATTGTCCAACAGGGATCTTTTTCTTCGCAAGACATCTCTTAGTACAATTTAATAACGCTGAGCAGTTATTTTTAGTTATGTTTCAAACATTCATGGATAGTTTTATTCGTTGTTATTTCAGATTTAAATTATTAGTAAGAAGTCGGTTTACGCAGTTATGGCCGAAAATACTTTACATTCTAATAGTTATACAATACCAAAAGATGGTGTGAATAGTGAATATTTAGCTACTCTAATCGACATGGGTATATCAAATGAAATAGCAAGACAAGTTCGTTTTATTTTTTTTAAAAAAATAAAAAAGTCAATATTAATGATCATCTCAAAAGTCACCTTTAAATTTTGATGTCCGTTGTTTAGAACTTATGAGAGAACCTTGCACAGTGGGCATCCAGGCGGACATTTAGCGAAAAGTCAAAAATGCGGTTTTGTAAAATTAAAATAGTGGCAAATATACTTTGATAGATGGGCTATCTAATGACGTAAAAGTTTTTGTTTCGAGCGAGGAATTTGCGTGTAAAAAATGTTGAAGAAAAACTACCTCGTATATCTGTGACCTCTATGTAAAATCAACGTTTTATTGAACTGAATTATATTTAAATTTTCCAAATGTGTTATTTGGAATCAAGACGTTTGTAGCTACCTATTGGTAAAAAAAACGTTCGTCTCAGATTAGGTCTTTTAGCGAAAAAGAGTTTTTTCACAAACGGAGCGATTTTTCCGAGAGCTATGTTCACTGTAATGAGTTTTCGAAATTTTTCGGAGCTCCAGATTCGTTGAAAATTTCACAGAATGTGCATCGACATAGACTGAATCTGTGGTGATAGCAGTTTTATGCAGTTTTTCGGCTAGACCGAGATCTAGGTTTTCTAGAAAACCGTCTGTTTTTCAGGTATTTTACATTTTTTCAGCCGAGAAACACTTTTACTGAGAATTAATGTGATATTTGGGATCAGCATGAAAAACTACATCGAATGATGTATAATTTGTTAATTTTACGAATAAAAAATGTTTTGACAAAAATTCAGGGAAAGGGAAGGAACTTTTTATTGAAAAACACTTTTTTTCGAATTTGAGTTTTTTTACTTTTATTAATATCTGACACATAATAAGACCATATTATGCGAAAATAATCATTTTTTAACTCAAAAAACCAGATGTCCGGCTGCTCTATGGAAAAGTGCCTCGGAAAAGTGCCCACAATCGAAATTTAAATCTCAGGTTAAAACAGGTGGGTTTGAAACTCAACTGGAGCACATGTCTATCTCCGAGCAGACATCTCTGGGAGTCTTGAAATGCCATGGAATATAGGTAATCGAATACGCTGAGCAGAGATGTCTGCTCGGAGATAGACACGTGCTTGGAGAAAGCGAGCCCTGTCCGAACGAAGATAGCTGGAGAGCCGGGACTTGCATAATTTTGCAGAGTAACATCCGGACTATCTATGAATGCAGAAAATATTAACAACATTGTATGTTAGTTTTCTGAGAATGGAGCTGGTTTTACAAAGATCCTCTGGAAATCCGATCTTTGAAAGTTTTTCAAACGTTGTTTCTGCTTGTAAAAAGTTCCGCTCAAGTCTTGGCTATCGAACAGCGAAATCATTCTTATCAAAAGTTATTCAAGAAACATCCACCTGCCTTCACTTCTGGCATCGATAATAGTTATGTTGTAAACTGAATTAAAATGCAGTGCCGTTCAGTAAAATTAACTCATATCATACTTAGGTATAAGACTGATGGCTTCCGTATTTCATCGAGAGAAGTTGTGTAGGAACTGAGTTTAGCATGGAAAGTTTTCATGGTAAGACAGTACACGATATGACTGAGCTCTGACCATAGTATTACTTCTATGGTATCTGGACATGTGTACACGTATCAGGCATTACTTCGTACTGCCTCCACAACCTCCGTTTCACCTTGTTCGAAGTGCTTAGAAACCTAGGTTCATGCAATTTAATGCTGCCTAGTTCAGTTTGCAACACAACTAGTTCGTTTTGAAATGTATAATTGATCCAGTTGAGTTTCAAACCCACCTAGTCTGCTTTGTCAGTTGAGATTCAAATTTCGATTAATTCTTTAGGCTTTACATGTTTTATTCTCTTTAGGCATTAATACTCGTCGAAAATCGGAGTCTTGAAGAAGCTCTGTCAGTTATATTTAATGAGTCATTACCATCTACTTCACAAACTACATTTGGAAATAGTCGTGAACAAGCGACTCAAGCGAATGTTTCCATTGTGGGTTCTCAACCGGTATGACACAAAATATATAATTTTTTCTCTTTTTGATGATTCTCTCAGTTATCTTTAGAGAGAATCTGAAAGTGACCTTGGCGCTGATAGAATGTATAAAATGTTATTTGTTGTGAATGGTTCATTGAAAATGAGTTCCGGTAAAATGTGTGCTCAAGTAGCTCATGCTGCAGTTAATTTATATTCAAAATTAATTGATCAACGATCATTGGGCTTAAATTTTTGGATGATGTTTGGTCAAACCAAAATTGTTGTACGTGGAGATTCAGCAGAAGAATTAATTAAGATACAAAATAAAGCCTATGAAACAAAATCAATCGTTACAACGATAATACAAGATGCGGGTAAAACAGAAATTAGAACATCGTCTATCACATGTCTTGGTAAGGAATAAGTATTCCTGAATCGAAGAGTAAATAATAATTTGAAAAATTGTCCATTATATATTTAGGTTTATTTGGTACAAATTCTCAGTTAGATCCCATAACGCGTCATTTAAAGTTAATGAACGATTGTTTAAGATGTTCTGATAATGATATAACGAGCAATGAAAATAGTAGACAACGTCAAACAAAACAAAAGGCAAAAGGACAACAGACGAATAATATTGAAGAAAAAAATCAGACAGAAGATGCGACAACTTCTCTATCGAACATAGCAGATACACAATTGACGAACATAGACAACAATGGGCATATTAATCAAACAGAGGCAGAAATCTGTGAAACAAAATGATAGATATTCTTCTCGTTTCATTTGTTGACCTTTTTAACTGTTTCTCTTTTTACTTTTTATTAAATTTTTTAAGCCGGAATGTACAACAATGCTATTCTACAGTGGTGAAACTTTGGCAGGGTGACTGTTGGATCACGGTCCAGTTTGATTTCAGTCTTGATCCAGTAGAAAAAAATGGATAAATATATTTACCCATAGATGTTTTTTCAATCCGATTCTATTATCCATTTCAAATTATAAGAATCCTGATTGTTTTTTGAATAACTTTTGTTAGAAAAGAGCTAGAGATTTGCGGTTTTCACTATTCGAATATGTTTTCTAGGAGTTCTTTGGAAAATCCAGTTGTTTCTCAGAATCGGCAGAATCGGATTGATTTTTTTTCATGAATTGATAGTCCAGAGTGTCCTCTACAAAATTGGAGTCAAGCAAGCTCTTGACTTTCACTGATTTTGGTATGATATCAAATTTCCTTGGAGTCCTAGAACTGGTACTTCGCAACTATTTGTAACCTCAAAAACGGGCGAATTATAAGTAATCAATCATGCTGAGTTCTCCTGGCAATATTTGTTTTTAGAAAAAGATTTCAGAAAATAACGAAAGCCACGTTTTTTGAAAATCAGGGTTTCCAGGCGGAATATTAAAAAACTCAATATTCACTCAAAACCCATCAGAACGAGTTCAAAACTTCAGGGTATGGTTATTGTCCGCTAAACGTGATTACAAGATCGATCAAATTGAAAAACCATGTTGAAATCATGTTGTTCAGAAGCTTTCCACAAATCCTTTCAAAAAGTCATGGGTCCTTTAAATTCTTTTTTGTAGATTTCTTATAAATAGAATATAAAATGGTCTGAATACTATACATCCTGAAGTTTTGAACTCGTTTTGATGTTTTTTGGGTGAATATTGAGTTTTTAATATTAGGTGAAAACAGGCGAAAAACCGGAAAACTCTGACTTTCGAAAAACGTGGTTTTCGTTATTTTTTTAAAATCTTTTTCTAAAAACAAATATGCAAAGTTCACTCTTTCGAATGGTGAAACCGCAAATCTGTAGCTCATTCTTATCAAACGTTATTCAAAAAAAACAATCAGGGCTCTTATAATTTGAGAAGGATAGTAGGCAAGGTTCTGGTCAAGAACTGGAGCTAACGTGGAAGTCGAACAGAAATTTCAACTGGCATAATATCCTTTCTGTTTCATCTTTAGATCCTCTGATTTATCAGCAGTCGGAACGAGCTGACTGTCTCTAAAACACGATGAATGGGACGCACACGGTTTCAAAATTTATGAACTTTAATGGAGCAGTTCAACTCCAAAAAGGTCCTAAGATTAGATTCAGAGTTTTTTTTATATGTCTCTAGTTGTTCTGCCCATCTAGATCTAACGATTTTTATGGCTCTCTGGAAGAAGTCCAAAAACCTCGATTAAAATACTACTATCTTATAATGTATAAGACAATAGAAGTGAAATCAATTTTGATTTTTCAGCCCTAGAGAAAGACAATGTATAATGAATGTCTCTTTCTCGTTAAGGTATGACATATCGTGTTGTGTCAATTATCAACATGCATTCATATTCCTTGTAGAAAATCATTATTATTATTATTATTTCTCTTGCAATCTACATGTTGTCTCATGATAATTTTCTTCGTTTACTTTTTTTTCTCTTTGTTCATCGATCATCTATGGCAACACTCAAATCATTGATGTACCGACTAGAGAAAAATTCAATTTAAGCAATTTTGACAACTTCATCAACGGTATGACAATCAAATCTATCTGTGCAATGCATGAAAACTAAAATTTCGTTTTTATTTTTGCTTTTTCACCATTCTTTGTCTCTTTCTCTTTTCTAAGAAAAGCACAATATGTTGCGTATGTCGTTAGAGTAATCGACAAGTAACAAAAAAATTGATGAGGTATACAGTATGTGGATATTTGATCATTTTAGCTTTTGACAAATGTATTCGAATCTAAAAAATTGTCTAATGATAATGTTTTTATTCCTGGTCTAGTGTTAATTAACAGAAAATAACTAATATATGTACGCTGAACAGTTCTGTAAGGGGGTACCAGGACAGATTTATAATTAATCATTATCTCTAGCGCAAATCTTTTCCACAAAGCTTATATAGTGCTATTTTATTCTGTTTATAGACTAAATTTTTCAGACTAAAACACAAATCAAATAATGTCTTTTTGAGATTTATTCCCAATTTGAGACATATTTTCGAAAAATCTGTGATAGATACTTCCTTCGATTCTAGCTGTAGCCAATAGTATGTTGATAATAATTTCATAAAGGAAAAGATTAATTGTATGAGTTCAACAATCGTTATTTTAAAACTTTTATTTTGAACATATATATATACTGTGAGTGTTTTTCGTTTAAATGTAGCTGACGATGATTACAGTTGTAATCGAAAGCTCCTGTTTTAAATAAAAGTTTTAAAATAATGATTGTTGAACTCATACAATTAATCTTTTCCAATAGTATGTAGAAAATGTCTGCATAAAATAAGTTGTGAAGAATTTTTCGTGAAATAACTGTTACCATTATCACGAATGAGATAGAATATGTAAAACATGGATCATAGTAATTTTTTTCTAGTAAAATCAGATGTTTCAATTAAAAAAGCATACGAAATATAGATATGGAACGTGATTCAGAAAAAACAACTAGGAACAGGAATATTGAAATGAACATGTACATACTGCTGCTTGTGAGACGAAATATCATCACTTGCAATAAATTCAAATTGTGGCTTTTACCACTAATATAAGAAATTTAGAGATAATCCAGTTGTTTGATGTTCTTGTTGTTGGTGAAGATGAATAGGATAGACATTTAAATGTTTATGACTATGTGCTGTTAATATGTCTAAGAATGTTAATTTACGAACAATATTTTCTGGAAATAAAAGTTGTTGAAATCTTTCTTGTTTAATGGATGATGTAGGTGATGTTTGTTGTTTTGTTGATTGAACACTTCCAATAGGTACTGATGATGGCGAAGATGACGATAGAGAAATCGATTGATCAGCAAGTAAATCATCGATGAGAAATGAAGAATTTTTTGTGGTACATGGAAGTGATGTGTGTTCGTCACATATCATCGGTGAAGAAGTAGAAGTATTACTAGCAGCATTTTTCAAGATTGTGATTTTTTGACGAGTTTTTGATAAGTTTTTCTTCACATTACTAAAAGTATTTTCGTCTTTTAATTTATTGTAATGAAATATTCCTTTAAAACGTTTTCTTCGACGTAAATAACTACCATTGTCAAACATATCACCACATCTGAAATCATAAGAGTAATTAATTTTTCGTTCTTTCTCGGTATAATAGTGTATATTGTGCATTCATCTCAACTCTGAATTTATGATGGAACACAATTTACTTCTGATATTCTTTTTCTTAACAGAAATATTGACTTTCGCCTACATTTTTTTATGCTGATTAAATCAAAAGTATAATACAACAGTATATGAAACATTTCCTGTACAAAATGAGAAAATCTAATGTTTTTCGAAACCTGTATAGTGTCACTTTTTTACTGCAAATTGATTAGAAATATTGACGGTAAAAAAAATTTTGTTTTTTAATGTTCAATTAAAAGTATTTGATCTATTTATCGAAGCAAATGGTAAATGATACACATTATAGTCAATAGAGGAAAGATTTATTTCTCTAAACTAGAATAATACCTATGCTAATTTTAACAACATATGTTCTTCTATATGTATGTGAGATGGCGGTTCTTTCTTGATTTTTTTTTTAAAATATTCATTGTGTAGAAGAGCGAAGAAAACACATTAGAAAAAGCAATAACAAATTTAAAACAAAAAAAATAGATTAGCGCTTAGAACATAGAGATATTGGGAAAAGTATGAAAAGAGAACGGAGTTTGGACTGAATGGAGAACACAGTACGAATTATTTTAAATTTTTACGCTGTTTAGAGAACGGGACTGAAAATAGAACGTGTTTCGAATTTTTTTTTTACAAAAGACGGAAAAGAGAACGGTTTTGAAAGTTATTTTTTCACTGTATTTGTACAGTTCTAAAGTAGTATTTTTCATACGCATGCTTTACACATCGATAGAGAAACAGTAAAAGAACCATATCCTAAGGGTGGGTTTTCGTAAAATGTTGTTATAAGTAAAAAATTAAAAACATTAGCACTAAAATGGTTTCAAGATGTTATAAAATATGAAACTTCAATTTCATGGAATATTTTTCTACGTTGTGGACCGAAAAAATCTAGTCTTGCTCTACTTTTTTGACATAACATATATATTTTCACTTTTTTATAAAATATTTTTTTCATATAATGCAAGATATATATAGATTATAATTCATTCTTCGAATGTATGACCGTTCTCTTTTCAGTCATTTTAACTTCGAATTCTGAACCGTTCTCTTTTCCGCTTTTTCGTTTTAAAATTCTGACCGTTCTTTTAATCACTCCAAATTTGACCATAAATAGGCAACCCCATTCTCTTTTTAGCCCTAATTCCGTTCTCTAAAAAATCCTTGTCCAAAGATATTAATACAATAGGAATGAGATTTGCTTCTACTATTAATGATATTGTTACCTAGTTTTCTCTAGTATAGAACACTCACCTTAGTTAGTTATTTTATTTTTATTTTATTTATTTTAACTAATTTGCCATTTTAGAAACGTTTTGTGAGTAGAAAACGATATATCTACATATCATCATAGTTCTTGATGATGATATTTTCATTTTTATATTTTTTTACTTAGAAAAAGGAAATGACATAGAATCAACATCATCTCTTATGTTTGTTTCATCGTCTACTCTAATAATTCTAATATGAACATAAAACAAAAATCAATTGAGAGATTAAAAATAATAACCACACACACGTGTATAGTGAAAGAAGGAATTAAATTCTTTTCATGTAAAAATTTAATTGTTCAATAAAGTATTTTGGTTTTTTGAAATTCATACTGTTCAGTGAGTTTTCATTTTTATAAGTAGTTATTTTATAATAATAAGAAATAACCTTTTCAATATATATATATATATATACACATACAAACGAGTCAATGATCAAAGAGTGATGAAGTGAGAAGTGTTTATGATTAAAAAATACAAAAACATGGTATACTTGACATCAAATTGAAATAAAAACAAACGTTTGAAGACGTTTATATTATTTAAATTGCTCTCATCTCTTAAACATTATTCATTCTTTTTAGCAAATACTCATTATTTTATTAGAAAAGAAATTTAGACGTAAATTGTTTTGAGGTGTTATAAAAGAGATGTCAATCATCATATTATCATCATTGATAGTCACATCGCAATTTTAAAGAAACAAGATGAGCATGCAGATAATGATATACACATGTTATCTCGAAGAAGACAGGTAACACCTTAGGCAAATATGCAATATCATTATCAACTCTACAAAATTGACTATTTAATTAATTTTCGTATGAAACATCATAGACATTCTAATAGTCAATTTTTGACTGGCAATTCCATTAATTAGTTTCTTTTACTGCTATAGATATTAAGGTATAAATAGACGTAACAAACTTACCGCGGATGTAGACTCCAGTAATTTCCTTTTCCAGGGCGTTTCATTTTTCTGGGTATTTTAATGAAACAATCATTGAACGATAAATTATGTCTTAATGAATTTTGCCATTTTTGTGTATTTTGACGATAATATGGAAAACGATCAATAATAAATTTATAAATATCATTTAATAGTAACATTTTATCTGGTGAATTTTGTATAGCCATTGCTGTTAGAGCTATATAAGAGTATGGTGGTTTTTCACTTGAATAAGTTGATTTACCTGGTCGAGGCATTTTTGCAAGACTAATTAAAAATGTTTGAAACAAGTTTTTAACAAACTTTTATTGACATCTATAAAAAAAATCAACATCTAAGAAATTCTTTTTGATATATATCTAGCGAACAGAACAGAATAGAAAAAACACATACACTGTTCACTATTCGTTCTATGTATATATTTTTAACCAATCATAATGAAATGACAAATGATCATGATAACAACTATTTAGTAATAATGTAATTAGTGATGTCGCGATCTTTCCAACTTGGGGGTAGGAGGGGGGATCGCTTATTAATGGTATATTATGTATCGTGAGTAACGTTCACTTGACTTGTTTTCCTGCAAGGTATTGTGCTCGTTATTCGATCACTATATTGTAACCGGTAGTTATGTTTTGCTCAAGTATAACATACTAATAAGATTGGGGTTCGTATCCCTGGTATGGATAAAAATAAATACGACAAATATAATAGAAAGACGGATAGTATAAGCTGGATTTTCTTTTTTAGAGTGTAAGATTCAGGTTTTTCCTAGATTGAAAAATCATTGCCTCTTTCAGATTTTAACTACAATCGGAGATGATAATATAGAATTATTATGTGAAATTTTTTTTATCAATATGTGTCATATCATCTTCTTCAGTGAAACAGTTGAGGATATTGCGGACAGTGAAATGTGTGGTAGAGGGGTTGAGGATGACTTCCATCTAATCATTCAGAGCTTTTGCTTTTTTCCGTCAAAAGCGAAAGCAAATTGCTTCATATTATCTCTACTAGGATGGGTCTTTACTATGGTCAGTTCCCACCTACGTAGGAAATATTGGATATAAGACCCATATTTTACTAGACAAAGCGTTTCTGAAAGCTAATGTGCTATGGTTATGTTCATGACCTGCTAGCGATCATGTTTTCATCGAAACTACGGGTTGGAACGATTATATCTTAAACTATAATAAACTACGATGATATGGTCTTGAAAATCACGCGTATATGTCAACATCAACACATACGTTGATGGTAATGCGATATTCGAAAATGTAAATAATTTGAAATTATTAATCATTTTTGTTAAATTTTCGTTGCATCACCCGCCTGTAATACTATAATGTCTATTTGTCGGTAAACGCAAACACGACTAAAATGAATTTTTTTCATTTCTATACGAAATATCGATCATTAACTTCATATTAAGTAATGATAAACTTAGAATGTCAGCGTACTAATTTATTTTACTTTATTCACTACTAAAAGTTGATCTTTTTACATAAGTCAAACATATGGAGAAGAATAAAAGAGTTTTTTTCTAGTCATCTCCATTAGGGGTAGCACTTTACTTTACCGTGCGTAAAAATAAATTTGTTGGTACTTGTCAGAAATAAGGAGTCAAGAAATATAAATAGACTAATTAAACGAGAAAATCTAGATGTATATAGAGAGAGATATCTGGAAAATAAGATATCAGCAGAATAAAGGTACTTATTATATTAAATACCTATTATTTTACTTGGTAAAGTAAAGGTAAAGTGCCACCTCTAACCTCCATTTCGCCTCTTTGTCGTTCTTCTATATAATAACTCATCAATAACTAATTTTTATCAATAAGTTTGTGTGTTTGTATTATAAAAAAGTTCTGTTTCCTGCTCTTTCAATACCTTGTAGTTAAATAGAAGAAATAAAAGACAATATTCATTCAATTCTCACCTGTTCCGCATGGAGTCCAAGTAAGATGCCTATTCCATGAATTGTTTTTTTGTAGTGATGGTAATATTATGGACAATTCAATTTATGTCTCTGACGTTCTATTTTATTTGTTTGTATTAGGTTCCGATTGAATGATAACAGAAAAAAAAACCAGGAGTTCTTTATAAATAAAAATTTCTTCACATAATTTTTTTTTATTGAAAAAGGAATCAAATTAAATATGGGAACAGTAATCGTTTTGATAATAAAAACACGTACAGATCATTCACTAGAACCATATTCACTTGAATAATCCCTGCGACAGTATTTTCTGTCATTTCTTGCTTAAGACATTGACACCTTTTTCTAAAACTTCAGAACCCAACATCTTGATTAAAAAAGCGAGTTTTCGTGCAGTTTCTTGTGTCAGAAAGTTGTCCTAGAGTAAATAGAGAAAAACTTTTTTTTTCTCTCCTCATTCGCATCAATAAGTTTTTCAAAACATTACACGCATTACATTTTTAAAATAAACAAAACTGCTGTGCTGCTATCAAAAGATTGTGATTGACTGGAAGCTAAAAGTTATTAAAAATCTTTTGATAGCAGCACAGCAGTTCTTCAAAGAAAAGAAAAACATTTAAATTATAGCAGTGAGGTGGTAGTACTAATAGATTGCTTTGAAAAATTCTTCCTTTCAGATGTATCGTGGATTTTTAACCTTCTGAAACGTTTAGCAGTGTTTTGTTTTTTTGGTTAAGACACTTAGGCTTAGAAAGGGGGCCGTATCACAAAAAAACTTAAGTTAAAATTTGGACTTAAGTCTTCGTTATGTGCACTTACATGCTAATTTTATATGCTTAAGTTTGACTTAAGTCTAGACTTTGACTTAAGTTTTTTCGTGATACGATCCCCAGAAAACTCAAAAATCATTCTCTTTTCTTCTTTATTCTATTGATGTTTGTTTGTTTAATTAATTTTGACGAAGTTAATTCTGCGCATGATAATTATTCGAATCTTCTAGTTAAATTTTAAGTATCTAATATCGTAAAAAATTGCTTGAAAAATATAAAAAATGTTGAAAATACAAAGAAAAATGCACTTCCAACATTTCACTTCTCAGTTAATCAGTGAAAAATCAAGAAACGAATAGAAAACCGACTCTCTTACATCAACGAAAAAACAATCTCACACAGTTAAGAATAGATCAAAACACGACACCATCTGTAAAAATCTGCAGATTATTACACTGAACGTAAAAATTGTAAATATATGAGAAACTGTAATAGAGTACAAAAGTTTCATGAAAAACAGAAAATGAAACCTCATTTAATCCTTGTTCTATTCTGAAAGTTTCATCTAGCGAAATCGCTTCACTAAAATGAAACGAGAAACGAAAGATCTCGGCGTTTTCATGGATTCAGGTTAAGTTTCCTCAAGATTTTGTGAGATTTTTTTCAGTCTCATGCAAAAGTCCCCGTGAATTGTGTTTTCGAAAAAAGATCACTGAGAATTCCTATGATAATTCACATTTATGCGAACAATATTCTCAGATTCCGAGGGATTTATGTCTATAAAATGAACGAAATCTGCATGTCTCGAGAACTAAATAAATTTCTTTGTGGAATTTCAAGCCACTTCTCTACTTAGATAAGATGATTACGAAGAAAGTTTATTATAACAGTACACTAGCCACAATAATAAATTACATTATTTCTGTACACTCTAAAAAAAAACGCGACTTAGGATCAAGTTTAGTCACATTAATGTGTTTTCTTTCAGAGGAAAAAGATACATACATTCATGTGACTAAACTATGACTTAATCCTAAGTCACTACAACTATAACTTGATCCTAAGTCGCATTTCTTTTTACAGTGTATATATTAGTGACAACGCAAATTTGACTATACTAGCCCCGACAATTCAATACTATACAGTTAAATGAGTTGGAGATGAGATCTGATGAAGAAATTAATCAATTATTAGCAGCAACTAGCCCCGGAGACGTTTTAGATATCGCACTGCGAACAAATGTGAGAATAACTAATCCTAGGACAATGTGTATTTACTACAAAATTTTCAATAAAAAATTTACGGAGCTGAATTTTGATATAGAGATTCCATCTGGAAATGCATGGAGTTAAAATAATCATATCTCCAAGTGAGCCATCCTAATTTTGCATTTTGATTTTTGTTACGCATTTTTCCAAAGATCTGTTATCAAGTTAAGAAAACTAATGCTTTAGAAAGGCTCGAACTGCAGTTGTTTGAAACGTGTTTTCTGTCTGTTTAGGATGAAGCCCAAACACAGAAAGAAAATCATGACTTGATAGAAATTTCGTTTTATGCCAATGAAGTGCGCCTGTTGTGACTTTATCACAAACAGCAAATCAGCATGTACTCTGAGGTATGTATTAACGGCGGGGTTATCGTATCGAAAATGATTCTGTTTGGACTTTTCGAAAACAGATCAGTTCGACCCGATTTAAATACCTTTTTTATGAAAATGCAAAGATTTTGGATAAAAATATGATTTTTTGATTGGCGACGTAATCAACCCCATAGTTTTCACTCTATCCTTTTATTTCCATCGTTGTTTTCAACACTGTATTCAGCAATCCGTATCGTAAAAGTACAAAAATGTCTTCTGATGGGTAGTAGATCTCGGTGTATCTTTGACAAATTTTTCATCTCTTTCTACTTTGAAAAAGATTTTTGATTTTCATTCGGTTCGGTTTTCAAAAAAAACAGAAACTAAATCCGGGAAGCATCAGAGTCTGTACCATTTTCTATTCTCATAATCTTATAGAAGTATTTCAGATGTGGTGATTTAAAAAATTCAATCTTCGGTAGAATTTGTTTTAAGAATTTGAGAGCATGTGTCAGTTAATGTGTAACGCAAACTGGCAAAATGTGAGTCATTTTTTTGCAAGTTTCACCGCTTTATTGTGGATAAGTAGAGCATTACTACAAAACATGAATTATTCATTTGTTGATATTCTCGTAAATGATTTTTGCTATTTTATCATCTACAATTGCATCTATTTGTGCATAATTCGAATTTGTATAATCTCGTTCATGAATAGACTGGTGAGCAGCTTGTTTCTGTCGATCTTTGTGTTCGAGATAGTGCTTCCATACAAGATCATCAAACCATAACTTAAATGATTCATTAATTTCTTCTCCGTTTACGTCTAAATGATTTTTAGATTCTCTCACATATCTTCTTCGACAACATGTTTCTTTTTCAGCATCTAGAAACAGTCGAATATCGAATAAATGAGTGAGTGGATCGGTTAAAGCAAATAATAAAAATCCTTCAACAACTATATAAATAAAATTTGTATCATTATTGTCGCTATTTTGTGCTGCCAAGTAGCGGTTATTTTTTGCATAGTTCATTAACTTTTCCATTGTCTGACATTGTTTTATTGATGATAGTAATTTATATAATTCTTCTGACTTTAAAGATTCAGGTGTTTCATAATTCCATAGTTTACCAAGTTTTGGATGATATGTTTGAGGAGGACTTTGACAACAAAAATTATCTAAAGATATTGGTTTAAGCGGTGATTTTAAACGTTTGGCTAATGATTGAGAGTACGATGTTTTACCACTACCGGATGCACCACTAATTCCAATTAATATACAAATCATTTTTTTTTCACAGAATTAACATGAGTATAGCCAAGTCTAAGCAAATAATAAACATTTTTCTGTTTCTTTCTTCAAAATACAGACTATCTTGAGACATAGAAGTCGTTCACACAATATCTAATGATAACTCAGTTATGAGATGTAGTTTTCTAGTTTGTTTGTCAAATATGATATAAATAAAGTAAGTAAGATTTGATTTCTTCAAAAAACAAAAAGAATCACTTTCTCCAATCCTTCCTATCGGAAAAATCAAAAAGGTATTTTAAAAAAATGGTCGAACCATATTTTATAGAATCAGAATGGATTTTTATCATTATTCAAAGAACCGGGAATGATTTTTTTAACGTATATGAAATCAAAACTTGTCTCTTATACTTTTTTTTCGGCGATATCATTTTCGATTCTCTAGAAATGAAAATATAATTTTTGTTTTAGAGAGTAAAAAAATATGAAAATTGTTCTGCCACGGGATTTCTCATTTTTTCGAGAGTCTTGCAACATTTTCCACTAGGAAAGATGGTACTTTTTGGTGCTAACGAGGTAACCTCTCGAGGTGATAAAACGCTTTTTGATCGAAATCTAGTGGATCATAGGTTATCAACCATGCTGATTCCGAATATGATTATGGAAGCTGCCATTAACCGTACGAAGATCCGTTTTTCTGAAAAACCAGGTTTTCAGAAACTCTAAAAGATAACCAAAACCTTTCTTAATGAAGCATGATTGTAAACCGCAAATTTCTGATTTAAATGAGACCTCTCCCAGCTCTACACGACCTTTCTTTGCAAAGTTATAGAATTTACAAGAAAAGCCCTAAATGTTCATTATCAGCTCAAAGCTATAATTTAGGGCTTTTCGTGTAAATCCTATAACTTTGCAAAGAAAGGTCGTGTAGAGCTGGGAGAGGTCTCATTTTAATCAGAAATTTGCGGTTTACAATAACGCTTAATTAAGAAAGGTTTTGGTTACTTTCTAGAGTTTCAGAAAGATTGGTTTTCCAGAGAACTGGATCCTCCTACGGTTAAGGGCAGCTCCCATAATCATATTCGGAATCAGCATGGTCGATAATCTATAACCCACTAGATTTCGATCAAAAAGCGTTTTATCACCTCGAGAGGTTACCTCGTAAGTCTACAAATGAGATACAGTTAGAAGAGTATTCTGGCAAGCTTCGACAGCGAACTAAACTTATCAAATAGCTCACATGAAAACGTCCGTTTTGGAAAATTAAGGATAATAGTTTTTTTTCCGACAATAAGTCTATATCATTTACATCCATAATTATAGTTTGTTTGAAACTTCATTTCATAACAAAAGCAAATTTTTGAAGTAAGCCATCCTAGTTTTGCATTTTTATTTTCTTTAAGTGTTTTCCCAAAGACCTATTGTCAAATTAAGAAAACTGATGTTTTAGAAAGGCTCGAATTGTAGTTGTTTCAGACTTGTTTTCTGTCTGTTTAAGATGAAGTCCAAAGATAAAAGGAACATCATGACTTGATGGAAACTTCAAATCGGGTTATATGTAAAGACAAAAACTTCGAAGTTGTAAGTTACTTATATCCAGATAGACTTTTCAATAATTATATATTGAACATGAACAACACAATCTGACGACAATATTCGTTGATTTTAAGTATTATTTACAACGCATTTATCCGTAGAGTTCTCTACTTCAGCAAATTGATTATGTGACAAAATTCGTTTATGAAATAAACACATTAGCATATAGTTCGAGGTGCGTACTTTTAGAATCTATATTGTATTCCACCCTCTACATTTTCGACGAGGAGCATTTTTTTCATGAACGGTAGAGCGTACGCTAGCATATTTGTTTTTGTCTGAAACGCTGAACAAAGATGCACACATTGGTCATGAAAAGTCGGACGACTTGCTTTTACTCTGAAATATTAAATTGCCTCAAGCAATTCTTAGACTTGAATGTTTTAGATTAGCTTTAAGTCGCATCTGTTAGTAAAATTATAATAAACCTAACGAAGAGCTCCATTTCTTAACCTATAACTAACTTTTGAGCGCAAGTCGAACTCGTAATGTGCTGTAGAGAAAAGTTCTATAACATTGTGAGTATTCCTCGTAAGCAAATGAAAAAAGTCTTATCTGTAAAGTAAGATGCAAATGATAAGTAAGATGAGGTAGTTGCTATAACAATCGGCCATCGATGTGTATTTTGTTGCCCATTTTTCTTTATGACAGTTCATTGGCTGTCATAAAACGCATTAATGCACAGCATCATTTCGCAAAATATTTGCGTACTAATATACACAGAAAACAGAAAATTAATGCCTGAATTCATTTTCGGAAGTATCTGGAATTAGTGTATGAGATATTGTTCAAATAGGGTACGATGGTGTGAGACCGAAGCTGAATAGCTTCGGCTATGGTGTCACATTTGCTTGAAATAGCGGATTTTCATTGTTGGATTAAACAAGAGCTGAAGTTAGACATAAGCGTTCTAGTGGATCTCAACGTATAGAAGGGAAAACACTGTTGTTTTCTCAGTAAGACGCAATCACAAAAACCTAAATAATTTCAACGACGTTTGTGAAGAGAAGAAGATGTCATTTCTGTGCACATGCCAGTCGAATTACAGCATCTAAAACAGCAATAAAACCGGATCGTGCTTGTCGACACATAGAAAAGAAAAGAAAAATCTATAAAAAAGATTGCATAAAGGACATGTTTTTTTCTGAACAATAGAAAATGGTGGTCACTTTCTCTTTCTCCCGCTTTTTCAGCATAAAGAGCAGCATTGTTAAGAAGAAATCTTGTTCATTCTACTCCATTCGCTAGGACTGTTGCTATCTAAATGTAGTGCATTAATAGAATTACGTGCGCACATAGTTTTTGCCATACACAGATGCTTATAGAAAAGGTTGCCTTACCGTTAATGTATAGTTTTTTCGTGAAACTCCAATGTAAGATCTTTCGTGTTCGTTCCTCCTCATGAAATTAGTCTTTTTTATTAGTTAATGTGTTGTATTTTAGATGATGGCTTGTTTTCAAGGGCATAGAATAACAACATCTTTGACTTTTTTGGTTTTATTTTATTATATTGAAAGACACATTCACAATATCCATTAATTGCCATGAAAGATATACCAGCCAAAAATTTACCAATCGGTAAGAAAATCATGATGATATGCTATTCACTTTTATAGTCAAATGACTTTTTTTTCATTCCACTGTACAGAGACAAAAATTTTGCCTCTTGCTTTCTGAAATATTTGAATTTACAATAGGAATTTGAAAGAATCTTGGTATTACATCCTTTGAGAATATCTTTTATTCTTATTCATCTTTATTCACTTTTATTTTTAGAAACAAGTACGATGAATTTTCGTACTCAACTTGTAAATGGAAAGCCAGCTATTTATTTCGAAGAAATCCGTAAGTAGCAAAATTGAATAAATTGCTGTTATTTTTTACAGACTGAATTAGGCATATAGGTCAGTTGTTTTCGCATGATGTGTTAAAACTGATTTGTTAATAAACAAATTTGTCTTTGTATTTAAAGAAAAAGAATCAACAGCTCGAACGTCAAAACAGAAGAAAACAAATCGGTCAGTAAACAACACCAATCATTTGGCAACAGCAGATAAGTCAAAGCAATTGAATACAAACAATAATAACACTAACGATAGTAACGACCAGGAGAAAAACACCACGCTCAAACAGACTAAACAACAGCAACAACAACAATCGAATCGAGCAGAAAAAGAGAAAACACAACCAAAGACTGGTGTCAACGAAGATGGCTCATCACTTGGTGTGTATATGACAATGGATGAATTATCAGAATTAGTTAAAGCCGTTAAAGAGAATGCCAAAGGTAGGACTCATGGTTACTAAACAATTTTGAAAAAAAAATCTTGAAAAAAAATAAGGGGAAATTTATGTATATTAGTACCGAAGTTTACATATAATTCAGTTTATTTTTCAGGACCTGCCCTAACGACAACAGCTGCTACAAATTTAGTGAATGAGAATAACAATAACAATAATTCAAGTGGTAAGGAAGATCATTATCAAAGAGTAGAAAGCGTATTCCAGGATAAGAACGCAAGATGTCTGTAATACTGTTTAGAGTTTTAGAGAGAATGAGAAGAATTTTTGGTTTTGGATTTAAATTACCGTAGTTAGTGTTTCAAATAAGCAAGAAAATTTTGAATAATAGTTTTCACAAACTTTAGATATTGTTTGAGTATATTCCACTAGAGAATTCATATTTCTTTTTATTTATGAGACAGCAAAAAAAAATAGATGTCAGTCTATCAAATACCTATACTACTAGAAAAATTAATATCTATGACATCTCTGACTACGACTTCTTTCAAATATCTACTAGCAGATAGTATATTTATTGAGTCTGCTAAAAGAAAAATTGCTATTGACTTGTGTAGAAATGTCTGTTTTCTTCCCACTACAAATCTAAAAAATATTGTAAGATTTCTCATCTGTGTTTTAAATTTAGGCGATAAACAGCATAAGTATAATCAATCGAATGATCTTCGACTCGATTTACCATCATCGAATGATTCCGATTACTCGACGACAAAAAATTCTCATCCAGGAAATGATTCAACAATAACGCAGCGTGATGTAGGAGGACTATTATCGGATAAAAAACGGCAACAATGGTTAAGAGAAAAAGGTATGTATTGAATATGATATTGTTTTTATAATTAATTATATTTTTTTGATATCTGTCTTTAAGCTGAAATAGATCGAATGAAACTAGAAGTTCAATATGATCAACTGAAACATCAACTTACGCCTTCGAATGATCAACCACCATCGCCAGGTAGATATCCAATTTCATTGACTAAAGAGAATATTTCAGAGTCAAAAGATTGAACATTTCATAATAGAGTTTTATAGGCCTTCATTTAGGCTCTTTTCAATTGGAATAAAATATTTTTGTCTCTAATTTAAATCTTACTAACTTTTCCAGATGAGATTTGCATATATTTGACTTTGCTATATTTGTTTTTGTTTAAGGACGTCCAAAGTATGGTTATGTAAACTCTTTTTCTTCGAAACCACCAACAACTACTGTTCCACCGGCTCCACCTCTACCAAAGTCACTTTCATCTGATAATGTTGGATATAAATATATGCACAAAGTGGAAGATGGTAAAAAAAAGAACAGTTTCTTCGTGTACTAAATCTCTGATTTTAACATATTATATATGAAACTATTTTTAGACAACAAAACTGATATAAAAACACAATTAATGGAAAAAAAGCAACAGCAATGGAAACAAGAAAATGGTATTTCACGTAAATTCTTTTATGAGTTAAAAACTAATAAAATAAATATTTCTTTCTAGCGGAAAAAATGCCCGTGTGGAATCCGTTTGGTAAGCCTGGAGCAGGTGCACCAAGCGGCACAGATAACAATGCACGAACAAATCAACAGCCAAATCAGGTCGGTAATCGTCAGATCATGCTAAATTAAAAATGCTTAGGATCATTTAAAAAATCTGAAATATGTCGATTATTTCAGTGATTTGTAACAGAAATATTTCAAACCATCACTAATAATCTCTTTGATTGATTTTTTTATTAGAATAGTGCTTATAACAGTTCAATCCCAATTCCAGTCAACACTGAACGATCTACGACTACTTCTCATCAGGCACCGTCTCAGACTTATCCAAAGAGCCAGTTTCGTTTACCCATCGACGAAGATTTATATAAAAATAATAATTCCAATGATATTCGTTCATTTTCGACAATGTTTAATGATCAAACAAGAGTTCCAGCAGCAATGCGTACCAATTTACTTTTTGGTGATGTAAGATTTGATGATCAAGTTCAAATGGCTAAAGAAGTTGAACGAAAACAATGGCTAGATGGTTTAAAATCACAAATTGAAGATAATAAAAAAAAACAATTCACGATAAAAATCAATGAACGAAAACAAGATGTTTTACAAGAGCAAATACAACCATTTTTAGAAAGAGCAACACAGAATCATTATCAAAACCGACAACACAGTAAGTAATATAATAACATCCACTGGAAAATTTTGAAACACAGACCCGTTTAAAATGTGTGTGCAGTCTTTGATTTTTCTTAAAAAATTTGCGTACACGCGCTTTAAACGCATCTGTGTTTCAAAATTTTTCAGTGGATAATACGAATTTATGAACTAAAGCATAAAAAGAGGTTCTAATCTGCCTTCTTTTTGGAATATGTAAGTAAAAAATCACTCTGAAATGAATTCACTTCTATCTTAAGGCCTCGTCGTCGTCTTCTCTAGAGAAATCTGTTCACCGTACTAACTTACATCCGATTCTGACGAAAATTTCAGGAAACGTTTGTTCTAATAAAATATGAGCCTGATATAAATATCTATATTCCTTACTGAATTTTTGTTGTGTATATCAGGAAGTCTATTTTAAAAATCAGGCTGTAGATATTTCATTTATCTATAAAACGAAAAAAACTCTTTGTCTTTCGATAAAGTAAAACAGAGTAAAAGATTTTTATGCTTTTAGATGGATTTAATCAAGAAAATATTTCACCAAGATCAAATGGCGATAGAGATAGAGAACAACCACCACAAAATTCACAATCGTCATCGGATATACGTAAATTAAATCATCACGAAAACGTTGTTAAACAAACCTACGATAAAATTGTTGAAGCGAGTAAAATGGCTGAATTTGAAAAACGATCACAATTAATTGAAAAATTAAAACGAGGTGGACATCAAGTGGATAAATTACAAAACACATTACCAGGTGAGCTTGTAAACTTTTTACGTCAAACAATGGTGCAAGTAACATTTTATCTTTAACTATTTTAAGAAATTCGTTCTCAGTCTAACAATATTACTACTACAAATTTAAAATCCGGTGAAAAGTTATTTGGTCCTAATTATGAATCGTCCAATTATAATAATTCCCATTATCAATATCAAAATAAAATGGAACCATTAAATATACATAGTGACTCACATAAACGTGATGAAGCTGTAAATACGATAGATTCATCATTTCGTAGTGATAATAGTTCTCAAACAGATATAAGAATGCCACCCAATAAACAAGTATTTCCATCTGATGAAAATGAAAGTGATTTACCACCACAAGTTCCGAAGAATTTGTCTCATTATCCACGAAATAAAAAAAGTGTGAGAATTAAATCATTAGATGATGAACGTGAACAAGAACAACAACAGTATCCATTTAATACAAATTATCGCTCTCCCACATCATTTCGTGCGTCAGAAAATGAAAATAATACGGTTGATTTATCCTCGCCCTTTAGTACACATGATCTAGTTCATCGTCCAAAATGGAATTATCAGAATCCTGCTTATCGGCAATATATTCCAAATTCAAAACGTGATCCATTTTATGAAAAACGACAACGAATAAAACATTTTGAAAATGGTAAATATTTAAAAACAATAGGAATGTAACTATATACCGAAGATTTTTATTTTTTCATTTTCGTAGGTAATTATGAAAATATTGACGATGTTCAAAAACGAACATGCTACAACCGATGGAATAGTGATAGTGAATTGGTGAATCAACAACGAAAAACGAATCAACAACCGTATCAAAGTCAAACTCGTACGAGATCAACTTTAACGAGAAATAATAATCAGAAAGATAAAGGTGAGAGTATAATGAATTTATTAAAGAGCAGTGGGGTATCTAAACATCACCCTTATCAACATCAACAAACACAACAACATGATGCATTTAGTACTGGAGATAAAAATAACAACGATGATTTAGATTATGATAATATATCATTGGATAAATATGAAAATCATGTACCTCCTGCCAGAAATGATGAAATATTAGATTCCTCTAACGTTCAACCTTCAGTAATAAATTCGGGGCAAACATCTACTCAACAACAAAACATGCGAGACACAACAAGGGTACGATAATCAGTGACATAACGCATAACATATTGCTTTAGTTTGTGATCTGTGCATCTTTATTCAATTAGAAATGTTAATACTTTCATAGAAATGATGAAAACTTTTAAGCTTTTTGATTTTATACATATTCCTGTTGAAATATCGACAGTTTTTATTTTAATTATAAATCTTAATGTATTTATTGATGAACGAAAATAGAGGTGAAATTTGTTAAAGAAACACTTAGAGGTAATAAATACTGCATGTTTGCGTCTACGGTTTATTTTTACATCTACAATTTTACATTATAATTCTTTCAATCTTATCCTTTTGTGTTCACTGTTTATACATGCTTTCTAATTTTGTTTTTGCATAATTTTTAGTTTTTCTCATCAAATGTACGTGTTGTTATTAATTTTGTCCATTTTCTCTCTTTTTAGGGTCAACAGCAACCACAACCAAATAACTACGGTTTAACTCCTCAGTACAATGAAGATACACAACGATATAACAATGACTACAATCATTCGCAGTGGGATAATAGTAGTCGAAGTAGCGCGGTTCCCTATCAACTACCCTCATCAAGACAAGAACAAATTCTCCAACAGTTGTCAGTCATTAAAGAGGTAACCTACACAGACATCTGAAATTGACTGAATAAATACTATTTTGTTTTTGTTATATTCAAAGAATCTCGTGCAGCGTCAGAAAGAATTGGCATCATCAGCTATTGGTGGTATTCCAATTTGAAGAACTTTAGTCATTTTGCCAAAACAGTATTATACATGTTTATTTCTTATCTATCAGTAGTCGGTCTCTTCGCTCAGAGCGAAAGATCAAATAGTGGGAATAATAGTAGTTTTTCTCTTTTTTAATAATTGTGTTTTTACATTATTAAGGAATTATATACAACAAATTTACTCATTCTTGCGCTCGAATGTGTATTTTTTTGGATAATTTTTTTTCTCTTTCATTTGAAATTTTACTACACTCAGTTTTTGTTTATATGATCGAAATTTTTTTTTATACTGTTTCTGTGCGTATGTTCAGTATCATAATCACACTGAGCTAAAATATTCTTTTTTTTCGTTTTACCAAAGAAAAGATAATGAATTCAGATCCATATGTGCAAGTTTCGTTAGGATTAATCTTTGGTATATCAACAAACCGTCTTGGCTCTATCGAATCAACAGACGTTACTAATAGTATGGGCGTTTGTGAGAAAAAATGCGATTGTTTCCTGTACTTTCTTCAACATTTTAGTGAGGCGACTTCACTAGATAAAAATGTCAGAATTAAACACAGAATAAATGCTGTTTTCATCTATTTGCTGTGTTTCATGAAACTTTTTATTCTCTATTTCTGAGATATTAATTATTTTACACTATAGATGATATAGTTTTTGTGAATATATCAGAAATTTTATTAGAGCATAAAAAATATCATGAAAAACAGAAAATGAAACCTCATTTAATCCTTACTTTATTCTGAAACATTCATCCAATGAATTTATTCCCGCAAAACGAAAAAGCGCATACAATAGGTACACTTTTTCTCAGCAGTATCCAAATATGTCACGATTTTCTGCTACAATATCGCTAAAGTAAATATGTTATTGACTTCAATCATCCATCGAATCATCCATACCACCAGTGTGCTCAAGTGATCTATGATGCCATACCTAAAACAGTTGTCTTCCTTTCTATAGAAAACGTATACGAGTAATCTGATCTTTAGATGATGGCTTAAAGATGCAGAATCTACCTGTAGGTGGACGGGATGCGTGGGAAAAAAAATTATTATTGGGTAATTTTGAAATTTGAATTCCTACTTCTGCAAGAAAAGTTTTCATAATGTGACCAAAAATAAAGCGAAGATCATTTCATAATTTTCTCACATTATCAATGGCGGCCCAAAATGGTGTGATATCATCAGAATAAATACGAAAAAATCGTGACTACTTCGCTTTTTTTTCGTGGGCTCGAAATCCACCGCTAAGACTGCTGAACTATTTCCATTAACTAGTTGAAATGTTATTTTTACTAAAGTCATATGTATTCGTTTCGAATACAAACGTCGATCTATCATTCTTGTTCTGTCCTTGACTTTTCAATATGTGGTGATATGAGAAATATTGCACATTATCGTTATTTATTATAAACCCCCCCCCATAATAGAAGCCTCCCCCATATTAGAAGCCCTCCCGTATTAGAAGCCCCCTCTGGAGCAATGGATGTGGAAGGTGTATTAGAAGCCCAGGGGCTTCTATTACGTCGAAAAATAATTTAAATTTTTTAAACGACACATTTGATCGACACGCGTTTTTTTACTTTATTTGTTCTTGTG